AGTGGTACAGCAGAACGTACCCAGTTGTGGTACAGCAGAACATACCCAGTAGTGGTACAGCAGAAACACACAAACAATGCTTCGTTGCCCTATCAACGCTGTGATTCAAAGTCTGTGTGAGATCAGCAGACGACACAGAGGCATCACTGATAACACGGGTTGTGGTAGCCATCTATTTACTTAGCTGCTCAGCTTCCTGACACTCCCTAGGGTCCAGCCTTGAAATGAGCTTTCTCTCTTTACCTTGGTTGTGTTAAATGCCATGAAAATATCATTGTAACTGCATAGCTAACCTGATATCAGAACACGTCTGTTCAAGTCCACTGCAGAGCTTTCATGTAGTTTACTCTAAACAGGGCTGACAGCTGCTTCAAGCAGCATCTCAGTTTCATCAACATCATCACCTTCGTGTGCACCAGAAGTGCAAAAGTCAGGAAACTCATAGAAAATAAATATTCAAAAGCATTAATTAGTGCAGTTGGGAGATGAATCTTGGATTCAAACCCACATCAAACTTGTGATCTGGGTAGTCTAGTGATACAACTCTTCCAATTGGTTTGTACACAGCAGACATCAAAATCTGACCAGGGCAACATCAACAACTCATTCTGACTGAGACACTGACTATGAACCTGACAGACAAGTGCAACAAATGTGACTGTATCATCGATAATAAAATCTGACAACAAATATCATCTCAGTTCACAGTCTTCTTAAACCAACAAGAAACCATGGATCAAGTTGTGGATTGGGGAATGGAATCCTCAACATATAAAACCTAGTGATGTGTCACTGTTGATGTCTTGAAGACATGGGAATCCCATGACAGTCTTAACAATCCAAGTAAAATGGAGACATGTTGCCGTGATGGGTACAGATGAGAATTTCAAACTGTTTATTTCTTTTTCTTCAAATCCTTAACACGATGCATCAATCATGAAGCCAAGAAATTGACATTTCTAATACCATTGAAAAAACACATAAAATCCCTTGGCATTTTGGTTGAGGAAAATATCGTCAACAATTTATTAATGCAGATATATAATCCTTTACATTGTAACATAGTCTTTTCTGCTCTAACGACTCAAAGAAATGCACTAGACTAAAACAGAACATATGAAAGAATGTCTTTGACAATAAGCGAGGACAGCAAATAGGACAGGTCTTCATAAAATTGGTGGACATTTCAATGCATGTATTATTGACAAAATTGGTATGTGAGCTGCAGGGGTTGACGTCGCTGCAATGACCCAAGCATCTTGTCCTGCAACAACACTGTCAACAGCAGCCACCCACGTGGGGACAGCATCAGACCTGTTCTCATGCTTCCTGTCAGACAGCTGCATCGTGGGGTGGATGGGTGATGCCATTCTCAACCCTATTCTCATGCTTCCTGTCAGACAGCTGCATCGTGGGGTGGATGGGTGATGCCATTCTCAACCCCCTTCTCATACTTCCTGTCAGACAGCTCCATCTTGGTGTGGGTGGATGACGCCATTCTCGGTGCCAGTAAACTGGTGGGTCAGTTTGTGTACCTTGTCCAGGAATATGTGACACTCAACAACAACCTGTTGTCCCCTGCCCGGTGGACCTTCCTCCATGTCATCAGTTTGGAGACTGTCTTGACAAACAAGGTGAGGTGAGGTGAAATTGGGTTTAACGTCGCGCTGGAGAATATTTCGCTAATATGACGACATGCATGCGTATGTATGTCTAGGTGCAGCTGCTTGTACTAGCCCAGACTTAAGCTGGGTTAATAGTGCTAGCCCACTGAGATACCATGCCGCAGTGAAGCATGAATACCCCACTCAGACACATTATACTGACTTTGAGCCAACCAGTTCTTGTTGTACCCATTAATGCAGAGCGCCAGGCAGGGACCAACAAGTACCATATTTTAATGCCTTTTGGTATGGCGCGATCGAACCCACGAAATTCTGCTCTCCGGGCAGACGCTCTAACCACTACACCATGGAGACGGTCCTTGACAAACAACACACCAGACCTTGTGATGATGATATGACTGCATCTGACATTCAACCACCCTTCTTGACCTCAAACCTGCTGCTTTAAAACATTCCTTAACGTCCATGTTGACATGGAACATTCAGTTGTACTTCACACAGGTGCTTGTCACAAAGCACTAAGTACACAAGAAATACAGGTAACTATCATTGTGCCATCCATCCCTGGGTTGTCTTTGTGCCGATTGTCTGTGCCAGCCTGCTGATGGCTGAAGGGTTTGCACCGAGCCGAGGACTGACAGCAAATTAATTCCTGCATTTGTTTTAAGAATGATTTCAACCTTTTTGACAAGAATTAAGTCTACATGTCAAACTAATTTTAGATTGCACTCCAAGAACATTATTGTTCAAAACAGTCCCAGTACTAAAGGTTGAGCTATAGTCAGTAGAGTGTGTTACACTGAGTCAGCATACAGTGAGCGAGAAGCCTGAAGTGATGCAGATGTCCAGCAGATGAAACCCACAGGTCTGGGAATGATGGTCACATGATCAGAGGACTTTGGTGTGCCCCTGAGATGCACTTCTCACAGGTGAATAATGGCATGTGGGATGATTGGCAGTCCTGTAATACATGCGGCCCTAAAACTACAGTCAGACTTTCCACGCAGAGACTACTTCTGATTCTAATGACAACTTAGCAGTAATCACATCTCAAACACTTAATAACAAGCACACAAGGTATGTCGCTCCACAAGGACAACACAGAGGTTCGGGTAGATCAGTCTAGGGTCATATTGTCACCAGTGTTCTCACTCACTCACTCATTTAGCAAAATGTGAGTCAACCTTACAGTATTTTGAAACAGGAATAAAACAGTTTTTCTGCAATCACCAATTAAGGGCCCTTTAAAACAGTCACAAAAAGTGAGAAAAATTATGTTCATAATGTCTTCATCTTGATTGCTGTCCTTCCACCAGCTTCAACAAGCAGCAACAATGGTGAGTCTCATCTAAGTTACAGTCTACAAAGAAGCATCCATTCATATGTGATTTAGACTATACACACCATCACACGAAGCTGAAACTCAATCTCATGAGCGTCACAGTCAGATCTATCCTAACTCACTTGACAGCCATGAAACACTCCAAGTAGCTACAATTTCACATCCTTTGTTTGCCACAAAAACTTTCACTTAATCTTGTTTGAAACATGATTAGATTTGCTGATACACTCCGCTGTTTGACTGCTGTTTGACGGCTGTTTGACTGCCGCCAGCTAATAAGTCTAAATACTACATAATCCATACATCCAGACCAACCCAGGCCATGTTGCTAATGTTGCTAATGTTGCTGGATATCACTTTGGTGACGCTGATAGACATCCAAATGGATTGCACTCAGTGAGTTAACTGGGTTGAGATTCCGAATGTACAGCCCAACCTGATCTTCAACAACGCATGGTGATACCATTCTTGAGCCTTTTAACAATTCTTGGTACAGGATTAAAACTTCAGGAAGTAGAGTATATGTACAATCCTAATCATATCAGTGGCATGTGTTTGTGAATCACTAGATGATAATGTACAACCACAATGTTTGGTAAAGTTTAGGAGTGACAAAAATATACATTTTTTACATAGTGCACAATAAATATTCTAGTATCTGCACACTTAGCCACATGGCTGGGAAACAATGGAGACCCAACAACGAACACCATGAATTATGATCAAACCGGTACCTACCCTACATATACTTTCTCCACATCAACAAACATCTTTAAAAATACAACTGTCACTACCAACTATGTCAATGAATGAGTTTAGTTTTACGCCGCTTTGTCCCAACAGTTACACCAAACCCAAATAAAACATATCATTTTCAATTTCAGAACATGTATCTGCCTCGGAGACCTATGGCTCAGGGAGTTTCAGAGAACCTTAATCAATAACTCCATTTTCACTCCCTCGCTTACTCAAACCCAGTCACTCACTCACTCAAACCACCACTCACTCACTCACTCACTCAAACCAATCACTTACCTCTGTGACAGTGAAACAAATGTAAGTGTATGATATTCCCCTAACTCTGTCTGTAGTTGGAGACAAATAGACCTCACACACATGGAAATTGGGTTGATGAGTGACCTGAGAGTCCAGCTATTTCGAAGTGTAAAGGCGGGGGTTGGGAAGGAATTTACATGTGTATTTTTGTATGTGAGAAATAACCTGATCAATTGAAAAGATCACACTTTTTCAGGTTATACAAGATGTCCAGGAAGCAACCTTTTCGCTTGTAATTTTTTTAAGCCTGAATATAATTCATTTTTTTTCAGGTGTGTATGGAACAAAGTACTTTTTTCCTAAAGAATTCCAGCCACCATTTTGCTTGGTTGGGTCACTTTGCACTTTACAACTTTAATGTATCAATATTATATCATAGGAAACCATGAGTGAGTGAGGTGAGTGAGGTGTGTGAGTGAGTGAGTGAGGGGCTTTGTAATTTTCCTTTTTAGTAAATGAATAGTTTAGTGAGTGAGATGACACTCAGTAACACTTCACTTGTGAGATTTTTCAGTTTTTACATAGCATTGACTGCAAATACCTAGACACTTGCTGTGAGACGCATATTTATGGTGTATTCTAGCCCATGCAGCAACTGTCTCCCTGGTGCCGACCAGGAATCAATACTCCCGTGTGACATCTGTGTGTGACAAACTGCTGTGTTCTGCATGGATTAACACATTGATTTGAATATCACCAACACCAACATCAACCTGATGAATGACTGAGATGACGACTTGCTTCAAAGACGTCACTTAAACATTCATGTGTATACCTGACATCAATCTTCACACACTTCAAACACCTTTAAACACACAGTCAACCAACTGTTCTGATAGATATCAATTATCTAAACTTAAAAACAGGAGGACATATGGTCCATAGTGACATTTGATAAATAATAGTTCTCTGACAAGTTTAGTTCAAATTGTAATTCAAGAATGTTAAGAAAGTTTGGCATGAAAGTATTGACTTACCTGGATCAACTGCCACTTTGGTTAGTGGCAAGGTGATCGGCATTTTTGCAGCCCTCTAGTGGAGACAAGTTGATACTAACACTAAATTCAGGGGGAGACAACCTGCCATCAGCTGGGTCCTGTTGGGAGATAATACATGTGTGAGGTTAGTGGAACTATAAAGACTGATGACAAACATCATGTGACTAAATTGGACAGATATAAAAACATTGAAAATCTCAAATGATTTGGAGAATTTAATGCTGCATAGTGACAAATGGCTGTCACGAAACTCCCAAAACATGTATTCTTCCAAATCAATATTTATCTAAAACACATTAGCATCAGCTGTCGTGGCAACTTGTCACAAAACTCGAGCGATTCAGGTCATGCTCACAGGGATTTCAGCTGTTTCCACACTGGGACAAACATCACTATTAGCAGCTTACAGAAGCTTAACACCTTCATGAGCTTTTTCCACTACACTTGCTCAAATAAATACCTTTCCAGTTGACTAGCACCATAACATTGTAGCCTGTCAGCCCCAGGTTCATCACAATAACAAGTTGCAGGATAAACATACAGAGCACACAATAATATTGCTGGCTTTTAAGCAAAATGGATAAAAAGTTTCCAACTACCAGCTGTCATGGAGTAATACCACAGCCATGGGAATCCCCAGGACAAAAACTCTAAGCTGTCCCAGTGAGACAAGGTTTTAACCCAGCTTGGATAGAAATCGAGGCAATTTCCTCTGGCAAATTACAGGAGTTAGGCAGTAACGATGCCATTTCTTCATTCTTAAAATCACACGGGAATACAGCTTCCTCGGCATTACGCACACGATGGAAAATTATTTACTGTTTCCTTGTCAGCTTTTTCTGTAAATCACATTGATTACTGTCACCGATACCGTAGTCGGCACTGAACCGTAGCAGCGCCGACACCATTCGGATGGGAACACGGTGGACGACAGGTTGATTGATCAGAGGAAGCCCAGGTTGTAACCCTTAGCAGGTTTTAATTGAAACCAAAATGGGTATTTCCATGAATAATTGAAGCAAATCTTGGATAACTCCTCGTTCAGAGACTTCCATCTTTATTACCAGGATTCGCCAACGAAATCAAGTCTACTGAGCAGGAATCAGATACTTGTCACGGAGTGCCTAAAAAATTTAATTTTGGCATCAAATAATAGAAAGCTACTTCCTTCCCTTACATTCAAAAAAGCGTTTATCAGGCGAACAGGCCAAGCTAAAGGAAATTATTGCTCATGGAAGCGTGCATCTACTTCACCGAGACGACACCTAGGGAATGTCTTGAATGTTCAACACAGTAAACTTTCAAGGTTTACAAGAGGGCAGAGTTTGGAATGTAAATAAATAAGTAAATACGTGATTGTACCTGAAGACTACATTAAGACTTTCATGTGCATCAGCCTCATTGTCTGTTATGAATATTCCTGATAACACCTTAAGACCTTTACATCAGGGCCCGGTTGTTCAAAACTCGGTTATCTTTTAACCAGCCGTTAAGTACATTTAACCGCCTGTTAACTAATAACATCGGGTTATCTTGTTGTTCAAAACTCTGTTAACTTTTAACAGGATGTTAACGTGACGTTAAGTTAACACACCTAAGGACCGCCGCTAACTATTTAACAGTGTGGTTAACTCGAAAAATGGCGTTCATGGCTAACGCTGCTTTCATGATGCCAGTTCAGCAAAGAAAGGATAGGGTGTATCGTGGACTGGCTTTCCAAATTGGAAATTATTCTGACGAAGAGTTACGAACATGCTACCGATTTGGGAGAGTATCTATAGCTTACCTTTGTAATATTTTGCAAGGTGATTTGCAGCGTCCGACAAACAGGGGCCACGCACTGACTGTGGAACAACAAGTGTTAGTGGCCCTTCGCTTCTATGCAAGTGGGAGTTTTTTACAAGTTGTTGGGGACACCCTGGGTATAGACAAGAGTACTGTCTCTAGGATCGCGCATCGCGTGATGTGACCGATGCCCTGGTGGCAAGGCGTAACATTTACATTTCATGGCCCACTGACAATCGACACATTAATGGCCAAATTGAAGATGGCTTCTTCGTGCTTGGAGGTTTTCCCAAAGTAATTGGATGTGTAGATGGGACACATATTCGTATACAAGCACCTTCCCGAGATGAACCTGCATATGTAAACCGGAAAGGATATCACAGCATAAACGTGCAGGCTGTGTGCGATCACGAAGGTAAACACCTCCTTCAACTTGAACAATTAGAGTGGCTTCCCTTGGTGTTTCAAAAATCGAACATTATATGTGAAATCAAACCAATCCTACTTTAAACTTTATTGTCGAACTTTTATCATTTTGTCGAAACTGGCCAGTAGATTTTATCATTTAATATGGGAGAGTGGTTTGTTAAACAATCTAACTGATTTGACTCAAAGAGTTCATTAATAGATGTTGGCAAAACGCAATATTACAATTTTAGCACATGTATATGAAGCGCCTATAAAATGTATCTAAATACTTTCGACTGTTTTTTTTCTGTTCACAATGTAGCTGAAAGTTTTAGATTTGCATTCATATATATAAATGGCAATAATGAAACAAATTGCCCATAGGTCTACAATTACTATGTAAGAAAGAATTTTTGGGGAAAATCAAATATGAGGATGATATATTATGAACCTATATTTCATACCAAAATATTAATGAAAGAATTCAGTCATAATTTATGTTAAGACACATATATAGTATCTGACACGCACATAAAATAGGTAATATTTTTGACTGATGTCGCCTTCTTTGTGTATTAATCCTTGAACTTTATTACTTATTTTTTATGTAATCTTACAGGAAAATTCACAAACATTTGTGCCAAATGGCCCGGGGCTGCTCATGACAGTCACATCTTCAGAACCTCGTCACTCTGCGCACTCATGGAGAGGACCCACACGTCTATCTCTGATGGCTTCATTTTGGGAGACAATGGCTACCCCTGCAGACCATTCCTGCTGACCCCCTACCTCAACCCACAAGGACGACGACAACAACGTTACAACGACTCTCTGTGTGCCACAAGGGTCACTATTGAGAGAACGTTTGGTCGGTGGAAGAGACGGTTTCATGTTCTCCACTCTGAGGTACAGGATATGTTACTAATATATATGTACTTAATGGTGACTATTTTATGACTTGTTGCTACCTTGAAGAAAATGTCAGATGTAAAGCTATAATTTTGAACAATGATAATTGTGTAATGTGATATTTTGAAATTTACAAATATAAATTCAACTATAAACAAATTCTGTGTTCATAGATCCAATGAATAATGCCAGTAAATTATTTTTTGTAAGGTGAGGATGACCCCCAGTCGTGTGTGCCGTATTGTTGTTGCCTGTGCTGTTTTGCACAACATTGCCATCTCCATGGGTGAACCTCAGGATGAGAGGGCCAACAGGGGACGACCAACCACCCATCGATGCCCTCGCAGGGACGACATGACGGCAAAGGCATACGTGATCATGTGGCTTCCACATTCTTTTGACACTAACATATAATAGTACAAATGTGGTTTACATCGACATGAGAACTGTTATACATGTAAAAATTTGAAACATAATGAACATGACCTAATTGATATTGATGTACATATGGGCTGATATGTTATCTGTATATTTTATGTACATTTTTCACTCAAATTCAACTAACAAAGCACAAGAAGATCAGTGTGAAATAAAATACAGCTTTATTTCTTTACTCAACAACGAAAATTTTTCTTATTTCCAATTTCTTATTGCATTAGTGACATTAGTATCTGGGATGGTGTCATCTCTTCGCAAACTTGTTTGCCCTCTAGCATTTCCAGCACCTTTATTTGGAGAAGCAGTTTCTGCGTCTGTAGCGCCTGTAGCTTCAGTTCTCCAGACAGAACTTGCTGCTGCAGCTCGTACACCTTCTCACATGAACTTGGCTCCTTCCTTGTCCAGTGTGTGGAGACAGTTGTGGTCTGAGAAGTGGAGGCTGTAGATGGAGTCTTTCTGGTGTAGGCTACATCTGGGGTCTGGCTGGTGGAGGCTACATCTGGGGTCTGGCTGGTGGAGGCTACATCTGGGGTCTGGCTGGTGTAGGCTACAGCTGGAGACTGGCTGGAGGAGGCTACAGCTGAGGTTTGGCTGGTGGAGGCAACAGCTAGAGTCTGGTTAGGCGTCATCACGATGGCAGACTCGGACGTGGCCGTCTCAGCAGCTGTGTCAGTAGGGAGGGTCGCTTCACACTCTTCATCACCTGAAGATGTTTATAAAATACGATACATTTTCCATCAATATCTAAACATAAAGTGATCTGATTTACGTGTATATCATTTCTTGATAATGTTAAATGTTGAACCGACATAATAAACCTTGATATCTATGTTAGTTCAACATATAACTTGGTATGATATACATATTCCTATATGTAAATACGAAGTAATGCTCTTGAAATATTCTTTGTTTCCAATTAAATTTTAATTGTGAACGCGTACATGAGACATACCTGGAAAGCGTTAAATCTTATGTACAAGGGACAGCACTCCGTATGGCATATGTGAAAGAGTAAATCTGTATAAGAGTTATCCCCCTTGTAATGTACTCTCCATAGGGTCGTTACTCAACGCCATATGCACATGGTACAGTGAAATTGTGAAAATGGATACTTTACAGGGGTTTTTATTGGAGAGAACCGTCCCATCATCAAGGTCAGTAATATTTATTTCAACACGTGTATGTATTTTCGTGACCTGTCTACAGAATACTATGACAAAGCAGTATTGAAGATCTTAACGGGATGATTTATGGGAAATGTTGACGAATTATTTGAATTCTTCGAGCCCCCCTTCCCATGGATGGATTTTAATTATATTCTTACTAATCATTACAGCAATAGACCTTAATTTTCCGTATCATTCTTCGATTGTTATTGCGGCAAATTAAACACAAAAGCATATTTTCAAATGTCTAGATCTATATACTGTATATATATTGACGAAACCCTTATTAGCATAAACTTTGCTCTGGCAACTGATGTGTAGGAAAATATACCAAACATCAATGTGCATGTATATATCTATATCTGTTGTGAGTGATATGCAGGCCTAGGTCGTATATCACGTAACTTTAAATTTGATGAAAATGTTATGTTTCAAAATCGTAACCTAGATCCAGATTATGCCATATATGGTGTCAAGTTCAAGGTCGACAATAAAAATAGATCCAGATTATAAACATTACCACGTGGTTTGTAGTCCCATTTCTACCTGAGATACTGTGAGTGTGAAAATGATTTTTATTTCCCATTTTTATATAGGCCTACATTTCACTTTTCGTAATTGCCAATGGCCTTTGTTAAATAGATAGATTATGAACATCGGTACGTAGGTGATGTACCAGCTCCACTTTATTTTCCGTATTTACTCATTTACTAAAGTTATTTAACAGGGCATATGACTTCATTGTTGTCGAAGTAAACTAATTCATCATTTATTGTTTGGTGATTTATTGAAACTTACACTCTGTCTCGAGGCCGTCTGGGATGCCGTCAAAGCTTGCCGAGTCCCGCATCATGTCGATGATGCGGCTGGTTGCCTGACTCAGCTCAGGCGGTGGTGGTCCTCCGCCGGTCTTCCTTGACTGAATTCTGTGTTCAGTGTACTGTTTCTTTGCCTTCCGATTCATGTTTGTCCATTTCTCTCTCACCTCAATCAAAGACCTCGGAGCTACCCCCTTAGCATTCACCTCTTTTACAATGTCTGACCATAAGGTGTTTTACGTTTCTTTGTAACTTCGGAGGAATGTTTATCCGATAGGAAAGACCAGTTGGCCTCAACCATTGATTGAATTATATTCTCCTCGTCAGCAGAGAAATTTCGACTTCTCTTTTTCCTTGGGGTGCAGGCGACATTTTGCGTTTCCATTTTTGACACACCGGAAGTAAACAAAACACGGAATTGTGGGATATATTGACCCTAACCAGTGACGTTAACCACACGGTTAACTTTGACGGTGACGTTAGCTAACGGCATGGCTAACCATGTTTTGAACAACGCATATTTAACGTTGGGTTAGCTAACGGCCGGTTAAGGATTTAAGCGGCCGTTAGGAGTTAACCGGCGGTTAAGATAACCGAGTTTTGAACAACCGGGCCCAGATATTTAAAAATGAACACACTGCCATTTTCATCTACAAAGCAGGTCTGGTGTGACCAAAATCCAGTACATATTTTGTTCACTCCACGAACAACCAGACATGGCACTCAGAACTCTCAATAAAGACTCACAATACCAGTGTGATTTGCCCTGTAGGAAAACTTTGAATTTAAACATGAAGTAAATTTGTGTAGAAATGTACCAGGATCGACATGAAGTGAAACTTCAGCAAAATGAAAACGAGAGTTGACTTATCGTTCCTGTCTGGTGCCATTCAGAAATGGTACAGCTACTCATACATGACTCACGCTGACATCTGACACCTTCAGAGCAGTGAAGACAACTTACTGTTGTCCTTTCCGCTATCCTAACTCCATAGTCCAGCACTAGACTGGTCAAAGGTTACCTGACTCACCCTGACATCTGACACCTTCAGAGCAGTGAAGACAACTTACTGTTGTCCTTTCCGCTATCCTAACTCCATAGTCCAGCACTAGACTGGTCCTAGTCGAAGGTTACCTGACTCACACTGACATCTGACACCTTCAGAGCAGTGAAGACAACTTACTGTTGTCCTTTCCGCTATCCTAACTCCATAGTCCAGCACTAGACTGGTCCTAGTTGTAGGTTTGGGACTTATACTCCAGATATGATCACTACCCTCAGTTTCAGTAAAGTCTAACTTGTCATCATAACAACTAAAACAAATGGAAAGATAAAAATTTGAAATGATCAAAAGGTATCAGTTCACTTCAAGACTGATTTGCATATCAAGTTTCATCAAGAAATGGAAAAGAGGTGGCGACAGAAGAAGGATGCACAAACATGCTGATCACTGTATCCCCTTTTTTTCTACCCAGGAAAATAATCAGTTAAATTAAATAAAACAGATCCATTTTAATTGAAATTAGCTCTCTCCTAGGAAAACTGTTGGTTCACTTAACATGTTTCATCTAGCTTGTCTTGAAGTGCCCAGACTTCCACAGACAAAAGATGGAAAGCATTTATTATTAATGAAGAGGAATTATGCTCTGCTCGGTGGTGCTACACAAGCCACGTGATTATCACCGGTGTCATCTTCCCCATCAAAGCAACAATGGTTTTTGTTGTCACAGCCCAATACTTCAATATTGTTTAAAATATGTTTTTGCCAATATCAATATCTTGCCAACTTTGGTGACAAAGTTTGATATTATTCCCTTTGTCAATTTGGAACTATTTCAGTAACATATGGTGAAACAACCAGAGTAGCTGCTTGAATTTGTCAATAAATCCTAGGGAAAAAGTGCAGTTCAAATAATTAATGTTGAAACATTGCTTCCAAATTCAGCATCACAGTAGAGGGCATCGGGCATACAAGATCACCTGTCCATCACCAAGTGCTGTCATCGTTTAACTCTTGTCCATGATCTGTGACCACCTGGTGTTGTCATGGTAACAGTAGTCAATGGTCTGTTTTCGACCACCTGGTGTTAGCATGGTAATTGTAGCCAATGGTCTGTGACCACCTGGTGTTAGCATGGTAATTGTAGTCAATGGTCTGTTTGTGACCACCTGGTGTTGTCATGGTAACTGTAGTCAATGGTCTGTTCGTAACCACCTGGTGTCATCATGGTAACTGTAGTCAATGGTCTGTTTGTGACCACCTGGTGTTGTCATGGTAACTGTAGTCAATGGTCTGTTTGTGACCACCTGGTGTCATGGTAACTGTAGTCAATGGTCTGGTTTGTGACCACCTGGTGTCATCATGGTAACTGTAGTCAATTGTCTGTTGTGACCACCTGGTGTTACTAATGAGATAGTGGTTATCAACTAGTCAGCAGTCAGCAACTGTAATTGTAATTGTTCTTGTGTGACCACCAGGTGTTATCACCAAAACTGTTGTGTCAACCAACACCTTGGACCAGCTTAGTCTACAGTGTCATTACAGATCTCAGCTCATCAAGTCATAGTTATTGTGTTTTCAGGAAGTTAACTTTTTGTCAATTTCATACGTAACATTTTATAACTCCAATGTTCATTACAATTCCTTCAACAGTCATCACCTCTCTTTGATCAAGTAATTGGTTTTCTTTTTCACCATTCACAAGAATCAAAGAGAAGCTCGCTCCATAAAACCAATAACCAAGGAAAGGTGATTGAACATTTTAGTCGAGATTGATACATTATTTGAAATCTACACAATCAAACTACCAAACAATAAAAAAACATCACATTATTTGTTTTCAACTAGAATTAGCCATATTGGAGCCTGGTACTTCAACAATGTTTGCTAAGTTTGTTCTACAGTGAGAACACGACCACGTGTACACTTAACTAGCGTCAGGGATTTACAAATTGGAACTCAGCACAGCCTGGCGTCAAAGAGCTGGCAGAATCTAATCAAAGGATAATGGTTAATATCTGACCCATAAAAACCATTAACTGCATCCTATCTTGAAGGCATCG